CTGTCTGTGTGTTTACCTGTCTGTGTGTTTACCTGTCTGTCTTTACCTGTTTAGGTTTTTACCTGTCTGTCCTAACTGCCTCTGTCTTTACTTGTCTGTCTTAACCTGCGTGTGTCTTTACCTGACTGTCTTTACCTGTCTGTGTCTTTACCTGCCTGTGTCTTTACCTGCCTGTGTCTTTACCTGACTGTCTATACCTGTTTTGAACTGAAACTGAACCAGGATAAATACTTAATAATCACCTGATACTACCTATATGTGTGTGTGTGTGTGTGTGTGTGCGTGCGTGTGCGTGCAGGGGTCAAAGGTCGCGTGTTCGATGGCTCCGGAGTGCCGGTCCAGAACGCAGTGGTGGAAGTCAAAAGTCGTAATAATATGTGTCCGTTCAGAACCGACAAACACGGAGAATACTACAGACTGCTGCTGCCTGGAAACTACAGCTTCACAGTAAATAACACAGTGATACAGCGACCTCTAGTGGTGGACAAATACTGCGAAGCCCCCGCAGTGTTTGATCAAAACCTTATTGTTTTTAAAATGTTTTGCCAAATAAAAATATATTAAGCTGTATAAATATTTAAGTTTTGCCAAATGGCTAAATGAAACTAGAAAGGGGACATTAAAGAGTATAAACTGATGCTAACTTCTTGGTTTGTGTACAAAAATACGTCATGAAATGGGGGCATTTTCAACCTTTCCGTTACTCTGTTTTTGTCTTTATTCTGTATTAAATGTGCATTTGTAGGGCAATATTTTCATAACAGGTCTCTGTGTTTGACAGGTGACGTACCCGGGTCATGAGGTTTTGACGGAGACACTTAATGTCCCATACGGTCCTGATAACTTCTCCGCCATGAAACATGACTTCCGCTTACGACAGATCGCCACAACAACTGCCCGCACCCAAGCCAACCTCACCCAAGCTGACCTCACGCCTTCCTGTAACTACACGCTACACCTGGAAGCAGGCGGAGCCGTCGCCAGGCCCACCTGGAAGGGGCTGAGTGTGGGGCTCGGCCTGGTGGCGGCGGTGCTACTGTCCCTGAACTGAACTGAAGCTCCCTGGTGCTCAAGCTGACGGTTGCAGGTTTGAACCATCAACCTGCAAGAAAACAAACCACCATTGGTATCTGAAGAGACGTTTTGAAGCCTGGAGTTTGATAAAATCACACAAAAATAATTGCCGAGCTACTGTAGCTGCAAAGCAAACAGCTAATATGTTAGCTAGTTAGCCGCAGTAGCTGGTTTGCTAGCTAACTAGCATGTTACAGCTCTGCCTCTAACTGAAGTTCACACACTTAATTCAAGAAACTTTTTGTACCACTGGCTTCAGTCTGTCTACGAATTATTTCTCTTTTGTGGAGGATGTTATATAAATGTATTGAGCTAATAAGCTATAATAGCTTCCTCTGTTCTGCTCAGTTCCCCAAGTTTGCACAGATTTGCAGTTTCAGTAGAAAATATATATATATATTGCTGCAAGATTTTAACATAACTTTGTAACTTTGTATTTCTAAAAATATATTTTTTTTCAGTTTCCTTCAATACAAACCCAATTCAAGCCTACACAATGCCCCTGTTCCTGTGTGCACTCTCACAGGAATTAACAGGATTTAAATCTAGACTAGGGATCGCAGGAAGAAAAGAGGATTTCATCTTCCCCGCTGAGATGTTACAGCATGTGAAAGGATTGTGTAGGGCGGCGATGAGGCTCATTTAAGTGTGGTGGAGCTAGACGGCGTAATCTTATATGTGAGGAGGAGCACTTTAAAAGTATAGCACTTGCAGGGAGACTGAACGCTGTTTATAGAAACGGTAGTATTTAAGGACATTACAGTAATGGAGGGATAAAATTACAACGACACAAGCTGTGAAATTAAGCGATCCAGGTGACGCCACGCATTAATCATCTATCTTAACTCACCGAGGTGCGTTTGATTTATGACTCCGGAGGACATGTTCATACAGCCATTCATCCTTTCTGCTTATTTTATGATTGTATGAGGGGAGTTTAAACCATCCCCAATACATCACTACAGGACAGATTAGTCCAGTAGTTCCTGATAGGGGTCACAAGGAGACTTTAAAAGGGTCACAAAGCCAAAAACAAAGTTGGTTTTACTGGTTTAAATGAAAAACTAGGACTGGGAATCAAACCTGTGACGTCCAGCTCAGGTCACTCATACAGTATCTGTACACAGTGTGTGTGTGTGTGTATGTATATATATATATATAGTCTTACAGTCACCCATTGCTCATGTATCATACAGTATCTGTACACATATAGTATATATTTATATACATGTATCAAGTTCACAGCAGCTCCAATAACAACAACAACAGGTGTGGTGCCTCTTTTAACACAGGGTCAGAGGTCACTTTTTCTCCTCATTTCAAACGTCATTCTTGCCAAATATTAGTTTTTTTTTCTACTTTTTTACTGTTTGATATTAAATGTCTTCTTCATAAAATAATCCTCTGTGCCATGTTGTAACTGTGGTGACTGCCGGATTCAGTCACAGCAGAGCTCTTAATGTTTTCTTTTTGTTTTTATTACACTGTAAAACTGTAAAATGCCTGCAGTGGAGCCACTTACTGAATCCTGAAGTAAACTGATCAGTAGGTCTGGTTCTGGAAGGAATTCTCACATTAAAAGAATGAAAAACTGTACGAAAAATAAAATTGCATTGTGTTAATTGTGTCTTGATGTCAGCTCATAACTGGATTTGTATCTGTATAGAAGCACAGAAATGTATTGCTACAACATTTTCTTTTTTTGTGGCAAAAAACAATTTATTTATTTTTTTAAATGTAACTGAATTGCAAAACTTAACGTAACTTGTTACAACAAACAAAGTGTATTCTAAAGTACTCATCAGTGTTGGGGGCTAACATGCTACAAAGTAACACATCCACAACACTCATGATGAACAATACAAATTTAGTTTAAATGTAACTTTTCAAGACAAATTCTCTCAGTTAAAATTGTAAAATAAGTCAAGTTGAAATTAGGATAATTAAAATGTTTTTTTACGAGAGTGAGATTTTTAGGTAGTGAGTCAAAATAATGACAATAACTCAGACTTGTAACGTATGGTGGGAAATTAAAAGATATGAAGTAACATTTTGACAGTCTAAATCAACATTATAAGATACTAAATCGAAACTATGAGGGAGGTGTTTCCAGCTTTAATGCTAAGCTAAACTAATAGCTGCTAGCTTTAGTTAATGGACAGATACAATAAAGTAAAAAAAAACATATTTCCCCAAATTCTGAACTATTCCTTTAGTCCCTGTTTTATATAATTTTAAACAGAATATCTTTGGGTTTTTGAAGAATTTGAAGACCTTAGGCTTAACATATATAACATAATAATAAAATAATAAATAATTAATCACCAGTTTCAGTCCTTATAAGTTCCACTACCTTATACCGTATATGTAGTTTAATCTGTAGAAATGCAGTAAAATCTATAAACTGAACATGAAATTTAAAGTAATAATCAATTATAGCTTTAAAATAAATGTAGTGGACTAAAATATACTACTCAATATTTATGTATTTATTTGATTTATTTATATATATAAAGTATTCACCTCTAAAATGTAATGAAGTAGAAGTATAAAGAAGCAGAAAAATGCTGCCTGTATGTTTTATTTCATTTAATTAATTTAATTTAAAACTGTTTTCTGGGAATGTCACATGAATTTCAGGGTCAGAGTAAAAACAGAGCCCACAGTGTCACAAACAACAGCTTTATGTCCAGTTACTGAGTTCAATCGGTGGATTCATCAAATCATTCCTGCCGTAGAGGAAGAAGTCTGTCCGGATGTTTAACTGACAAACCCTTCGATATGCCTCAGACAGCCTGAGGACTCACAGACTGTAACCCAGACAGGATCCTCCTGTGTATGATTCACAGGTCATTAAAGGATGAATTCACTGATTCACGTGGAAGGAAGACGCAAGTTCATTTATGATCGAAAACGCTGAAAACTGATCAGTTTTTCTGCCCCGAAGAAAAGATTATAATCTGATTATAATTAAAAAAGACATACTAACACTGATTTACTCTCCACAGAACTTCCACCTGATTCCCCTCCTGCAGTTTGGTGAGTGTTTTACATTTATTTCTGTTTCTGTTTTTACTTTGTCTTTAAGTTTTGTGTGTTTTAAAACTTTTAAATTCTGATTATCTGCCAGTTAATAATAAATTATATAGAGATAAGTATGTGACAATACTGCCTCCCTGTGGTCTTAATGAAGAACTACAGTTTTAAAACAGCTTTAATTCTTTTTATCCCTATATTGGTTCCCAGAGAGGCTTATATGTTGGTGTTAGCATGTGTCCAAGTGTCAGATTAGCAAGAAACATTTCTGACTTTCTGTATTTTCACACTAAAGTCAAATTTCATATTAAACTTAATTTAAATTAATCAAGAATTGCCTACAAGGCGCTCTATACAGGATTATCATGATGTTAAAATTCCACCAAACTCCCCTAGAGAAAGGAAATAAATCCAGTCTGAATCAGGGTTAATAATAAACCTCAAACTTATCAACAAAAAAACATTTTCTGGATTTTGTTTTTGGCAGCAATGAGCTTCCATACAATCACACAAGCTCGGCAACATACAGAAAAACGCGACAAAACACAATTGAAATAGTTTTATTTTTATAATCACATGATCCATGACAAAAAGAGACATCATTCAAGAACTTCTTCTTCTTAACATAATTACACGTACGTATGAACATGGGGGGTCTTTTTTTTTTTTTTACACCCATCAGTCTCTTTGGCACTGTAGGACGTCCGCTGAAGGCCCAGCTCGCTCGGCGCCACTTTCACATTTCATCCAGGGGGTTCAGTGTGACGCTTTAAAACACATTCACACCGATTTGAGTTCATTTACAACCACAACCACCAGTCTGTTTTTAAAACATGTTCACACCCTGGGTTAGGAGAGGAGGAGTGACAGAGACAGGAAGTGAAGCAGCCTCCTCCTGTAGTCCTTTTTAAACACCGTCTGCCACGACGCGTCGGGAGTCCAGCTCAGTCGGAGCCGTCCTGGTTCTCCAAGATCGGATCTGAGGACGCAGACAGAGACCGATGTACGTGAGCCAGTCTGAACGCACAAGGCTTCACAGTTAATGCCTACGTTACCCATAATGCAGCTCGGCAACACTCCAGTCAGAGATTCAGGTGTGTTATGCTATCAGCGGCTAATGTAGCTGAAGGCTGCAGCAGGTACGATCATTTCCTTCTTTCTTTAAACCAACAGATATTTTTTTATATATATTTTCAAACTTGTATACTTCAACTGACGCTGACTCGCGTGACATCACTTGAGGTAGTAGTAGAACTCTCCCAACACCTGGAATCACACATTACACGTAATATCTTTTATAGCTAATAGCTGGACCACAGGTGTGTTTACCTGTCAGTGTGCTGCTGATGTTGGGAGGAGACACAATCAGCACGGTGCTGCCAGACGTTATCCCAGAATGCACCACTGGACCCTCGACAGAGGAGGAACTCAGCTCCTGACACACACACACACACACTCAATACTAGAATTATGACTTTTCACATCAAGAAGGCAAAAACAGAAAACTTTATTGTACTTTATGATAATGTAAAAAAAGGCAAAATAAAGCTGTGAATGCAGAGCTTTTCAAATTAAAAGCACGTGTACTGTGCAGCTGTATTATGTAGGATGGAGGTTAATGTAACTAAATAATAGATTAAGACTCAAAAACTCAATATTTATCATTTGGATAAAATAAACATCCCTACTGAAGGTCAAGGTTCCTAATAATAATAATAATGATAATAATGATAATAATAATAATAATAATAATAATAATCTTTATTTATATATCACCTTTTATAACATAAAATGCAGCTCAAAGTGCTTCAGAGAAACAAATAAATGACACAAGTATTAAATACAACAGAAATAACAGATAAAAAAATTACAAATATTACAAATAAAGTTATTAATACCTTGTCAGAGAAGCCGTCCGTCATTGGCTCCTGAGTTTCCGTGACGACGCTCTCCGAACCCTCCAGGAGACTTGTGGCTTCAAGCCGGTCGTCCTGGATCCGCCCCTCTGTCTCCACCACCAGCTGCGATTGGCTGAGAGGGTCTGAGGAGGCGGGGTCGGAGGTGACTGTCTGGATGATGACGCCATCGCTGGAGCAGAGGCCCTCCGTCTGTGGAGGGAGAAAAACACACGTAAACAAACAAACAAACAAACAAACAAACAGACTAAAAAACGCTTCCCCCGCACTGACCGACAGACTGTGGAGGATGATGTGCTCGTGCGACGACGGAGAGGAGCCTGTCGTCAGTGTAACCGTGCTGTTGAGTGGAAGCCCCTGACTGGTGGAGAGGCTGAGCGGCAGGCCCTGATTGGACGTCGTCTGGAGGTAGTAGGTCCCCGGGGTGCCGGTGGGCTGCAGGTGGAAGGACTGGAACAGAAAGACGTGACAAGGAAACGTCTCTGTTAAAATTGTATCGTAGAATCACTAATTCCTACTTCAGAGATTTTTATTGTATATCGTTGAGGAATAAAGAGTTTACACAAACTTGTACATGAGAAGATGTTAAGACAATCATACAGACTTAAGAAGCTTCTTTTTTGATAAGTTCAGTGTTTTCTTGTCCCTGACGCTTGGCCTAAAGTTCTATTAGATATTTTCTTTACTATTCTTCACAGAAGTTAACCAAATGTTGAGATGTAGGCCTACTGTGTATATGTTTTAAGTTCTCCAGCAAGCTTTGGCGACCCCTACTGGGGGTTGGGAACTATTGCTCTTAAGTGTATTAATCATTGTAATTGTGTTCAATCGCTGTGTTGTTCTTACAGGCAGGATCTCGAAGGTCTGCAGGGCTCCTGTGTTCAGAGTGATGGTTTCACTGTCACTGGCTGCAGCTGAAGAATCTGAAGCTTACAGGGAAACACAAAGATCCACTGTCAGGAATCAACGGTACATACAGTACATATATATATATTTATATATATATACAGGACAAAGTAAACAGCTGCAGTGTAGCTGGAATCTTTGCTGTTATAAAGAAGACTGTTATATAAGAAGACTTACATCATCAGCATAGAAGAGCATTTTACCATTGAATCTACATAAAAGAAGACACAAATGTTGTCCTGAGACTCACCCAGGTGTGTGATCTGCAGCGGGATCTGTACGGGGATCTGAAGCGCGGCCACAGAGCTGGGGGCGGGGCTGCCAGCGCCCTCCTCCAACCGGGTGAGTCGGATCTGGAGCGAGGAGGAGGAGGGGCTTCCTGGTCCGGATGATGTCTGTGAGGACGCCACCAGCTCCTGGAGAACCTTCAGGAGGACTGAGTACACACAGATAGACACACAGGTGAGTGTCAGCAGTTTTCTGTGGTTTATTTGCATTATACTTTACAGAAACAGCATAAAAAATACAACCACACATTAAAAAATCAACAGCATAAACAACAGTTACATATAAAAGCATCCATGAGGTAAATTAAACAATTAAAAATAAACATAGCAGTTTTTTTGGCAACTTTGGGGGCAGCAGAAACAAGCTATGAACACAAAATTGACATAAGTCAGTGAAATTAGTGAAATCCCTCAATGGGAAACTGGGCATGTGT